CACATCACCTCAAAACTGTTTATTGTCTAAAGTTGTAGCACTTTTCCTGTCAAACTTTCTAATCAAACCGCTTGCTTTTGTCATCACTTGGTGACTCATGTGGTGAGAATGCAGAACATCGTCGGTGTTGGGGCGTGTGATTTACCTCTCCGATGAAATCACAAACCTCGTCATTGCAGCAAAGTGAGTTTCCTCATCGGTGTGAGGAGGAGGAGGAGGAGGAGAAGAGGGACAGTATTGTCAGTGATTGTGTTGTAATGCTTTGTTTGCGCGATCATCAGATGCTTGTGAGCCACTTTTGCGATTCATCTTGCCGCATGCTGTGTGGGCTGGCCTTTGGAGCGGGCCAGGTGTCCATCCCTTCCTCCACCCCACCCCCACCCCTTGCTCCAGATGCATGCAGTCAGCCCACCTTAATGCCTTCTTCTACCCAGTCGGAAGTCCTGGGGCGATGAAATTTCGTTGAAGCGTCTCCAAACTTTCCATTTGGTAGATGGCGGCATTGGAGAGGGGTGAGTACTTGTCTTTTGAATCGGCTCCACCGCCAAGACCAAGTCTAATCACACACGTTAGCAATGATGTCAGCAAAGAAATTCCATCATTTTGTTACATAAGTTGATGGCATAGATTCTTAGAGAAAATTATGAAATTTCTCAATAATAATTGTAGAGCTTGTTTGTCTACCCGCAGGTCTCTTAACCTCGAACTTCAGGAGAGACTTAGTCGAGTTGCCATTTTTTCGGCATCGCGTACAGAAAGAGGGGAAACGTGGGAGGACCGAAGAGACGGAAAGCCGATGATATACTGGCAAGGAATGTTCATACATTTCTTCCCCATATATAGGCAAACTTGAAATCACTTCTTCCATATTAAATTAAAAAATAAGTTATAATGCTAGTGTGAAGAATGCATAGACGATTTTATCAGTAATGCTGTAGTTTTCCTAGACTTTCTAATGGGTAGATAAATGCGTTAAGTAGCAATAAATTGCTTGCTCTCAAAGAGAGGAAGTAGGAATTGGGATTTGGCCCGGCTTGCGCCTAAGAGCAAGGTGATTACCAATAATTGTCGATTTGTCAAACGAGTCCTCGTCCAAACAAAGTATATTGTTGTTTTTCTTTTCTTTAGAGAGAGGTCCTACATACTGTTCTTGGCACGACTTCATTAGCAACACTTACGATGTATTTGCTGCTCTGAGGAAGCCTCAACAAGTTATCCGCGCCAGTATGCTCAATCACCGATTAAAAACTGGAATGCGAAACTGTTCCGAACATATTATGGCCATGGTCATTCATTTTTGTGGCAGTGGAACACAGTAATGGAGGGGACGCCAAACACAGATTTCGTTCTTCTACTCGATGTCAGCGGTCTTCAATCATTACGTATAAATTTTTCCCACTGCCATCAGTATTACGTACTGAGACTTTCTATAAAATGGTAGAAAGCCTTACGAGAGTTGGATGCCCAATGGTTATTCCTTGCCGTCAGAAGCATGGCAAATATAAAAGCGGCCGTTAGTCACGCAGTTAGTCAATGAGACGATGTATTTTAGTGGAGGCAATAAGGTCGCTGACAAAGAAGTACCATGTTGTTAGGCTGTTTTGGACATTCCACCAAGCTGGCGTGGTAAATGTGTCGTGAAAAACGGCGTGGAAGTCGTCCAAACAAAAAAAAGAATTACAACGCGATATTTTGTTTACGTTTAATGTTCAGTTCAATCTAATTACGAACCCAGTGCGTGAAGTGTGTAAAGATTTCTTGCCAAGGTGATATCGGCTCTCCGCCTCATCAATCATCCCTCATTTCTTTCCTTTTTGTACAGGATGCCGATTATCGATTCCTCAATCAAACCTCTCTTGAATTTCGAGGTTTAGAAGACTAAGGATGTGCAGTCAGATTCTACAATGTGATATTTGTATACCGGGCAGTTACCTTAGTTTTATCTTGTACGTTCACAGGTGAGCTGATCTTAAGTTTTAAGCTAAGGCACATTCTCATATCCTACTTTAACACATGCATTAGTGCAGTGCCCAAGATGCCTCGCACTAGGTGGAAAAGGCATTACGTTGCGTTGAACATGTACATTTTTATAACAGGAAAAATATAGCCTTGACTTGGCCCGAAATACGGCCTATTTTATACAAGGGCAATTGGTAGAGCTGAGCAGGTGAAAACATCAGGTGTCCACATGAGCAGATTATAAAGTATTTAGTTTGGAGTTTAACTATGTCACTCATCATGCAAACAAAGCATTACTACCAACAAAATATTTTAGTAATGTATTACTGACGGCTGTTGCTCGTAAAACAATGAATAGACGCATTATAAATTAGAAATATTTCATATAATAGATACGAAGCGATTTCAAGTAAGAACAAGATGACATAAATTCACTATTTGTGTCTGCATATTCATATTGCTAAATTCCTTATTCAATTTTTATGCAAGTGTTTAAAACAGCATTAATTTGTTTGCATTCTTCGTTGATTTTCCCGCTCTTCAAAATTTTCATTATTGTATTATTAAGCCTGCATTATCACTGCCTATCGGAAACGGTTTCATCAAGGTTCTCAAACCAATGGCCGAAACCGCTGGGGATGTACAAACCGATCCTCTCCTTGATGTCGTTGATGAAAAATGTGATGATATTGAGGACTTAACTGAACACTTTTATGACACATGCTCCCTTGACTCTCCAAATAAATTAGGGGAGCCTGTGCCTTCAGACATACAAAATGATTCTTTGGAGTTTTACGATCCAAACGCAGAATGCGACGAGAAGGACTTTTTGAAAGTTCAAATGGATGCAGAGAACGCCTTGTCAGATGAAGAGTTGGAGGTATATGTTCTCGTCTTACTTTGTCAGTTGTTAGAATCGTAAAATTAAAGCTATTAGCTTAAAGGAGGATGGCAACTCAAAAATTCGGGAAAATTTGTACCAAGATGCTCTTTTGTTGTACACATCTGCACTGCGTACTTGTCCTCTGAAGTTCTCTGATGAACGAGCTAAGATCTACTCAAATCGAGCCCTTTGCCATTCTCGCCTTGTGAGTTTTTAGCCAAATGCTGTGGTTGGTCTCCTTTTCAGTGAAGCCTTTTTATGTATTTTTTTGCCCAGGGTTCTTCCGATGCTGCTCTAGCAGACTGTGATGAAGCCCTAAAACTGAATCCAGATTATCTTCGATGCCTAATCCGTCGAGCTGACTTCAGAGAATCAGCTGACCGCCTAACGGAAGCATTGGAAGATTATCAGCACGTTTTGAAACTTGATCCCTCTAACGCTAAGGCTCGTGCTGCTTGTGCTGTAAGTTGCGCCATTCCTTAATTGGTTTGGGAAACTCACGCTACTGCTTATCAAATAATTCTCCTTTTTACAGATTTTACCGGAGAAGATAAACGCTCAGCAGGAAAAACTGAAGACTGAGATGCTTTCTCAGTTAAAACAACTGGGAAACCTTGTTTTGAAGCCTTTTGGTCTTTCCACCGACAACTTTAAGCTGACAAAAGACCCAAACAGTGGTGGTTACTCGGTTAGTTTTCAGCAGTCCACATGATACATTATTAAACTCCTAATAAAAGGGCTTTTAATTTATTTACATGCTTTATTTCATCGCTTTGGTAAAAGGATGAAGGGACTGTCAGCCGATCATGAGGCGTTTACGGCCCCTACTTTGAACTTCTTTGAGAGCTCGCAGAATTCCGTTTACCTCGTGGACTGCGTCATCGTGAGTCAGTATCCGCAAGGCGGAACTATGATGAGCTCTTTTCTTCCCTTGTTGTGGCTGTTTTCGCATCACCATAGGGGATGCCTCGACAGGTCTAGCGAGAACCTCAACTGGATAAGCCTTGGCGTAAGCCGCGAGAACAGCCTCAAAGAATGCTTTAGGAGTGAATTCAAAGCCTTCGTCCTCCTTTCGAGTCAATAATGCGCTGATTAGAGCTCTTTCCAAAACGTAGAGATCCACAGCTATCTCTTCATCGTGGAGGTTAGAAGCTGCGCGGTGATTGATGGAAGACAGTCCGAAGTCAATGAGGTAGAGGTGGTAGTTCTCAAATTTATCCTCTGGCTTGCCCTAAAGGAGAGATTACTCGATTAAACCGGCTAAACTCAATTAAACTCTACGGTACAGCTTGGAAACTGATTACTCGTTTTTGCTTCTACTTGATCAACGTGGCATGACCCTGAAAACCCCAATTATGAATCGGAACTTGTAAGAGAACTTGCCATTTGCACAAGAATGTTCGCTGTAGTCAAGTCTCCATGAATGATACAATTTGCATGCATTTTCGCTAACAGCTGACCCAATCTCTCGGCCATTGTGTCCAGATACTGACGCGGTGATACTAAGTTCAAAACCTCTTGAAACCAGTCTCCCAAAGACATTCCATTCGGTACACAAACATTCTCCATCCATAGCTGACGGTGGGCTAGATCAACTAACAAAAGAGCCGGAACTGGTAAGCCCAACTGACGGCATTTCACAAGTTGCCTTGCCTCTGCGCGCATTCGACGAAGTGATAGAGAGGAATCCAGGGCTGGATGGCGATAGGTCTTTACAAATCTTTCTTTGACGATGCAAGCTAAGTCTGGTAAAGTGGTGAGGAATCCTGCCGGGATGCTGAATATTTTAGCCTCTGCTCCTTGTCGAATCATTATACCGGGAGGTTGGGGAAGAGCTGGGAGGTCTACTAGGTCGTCCACAACGCTTTTAACTTTCTCCATCTTTAAAAAAAGGAGGAGGATATTTTATAAGACAGTTATCAACATGTATCAATTACTGAGAATAGGTCTTTCTTGAACAATTTTATTAAACAAAAGTGCGACTTATGAACATCAAAGAGTCTCCTTTTAATCCATTTGCCAGTCTAGTGTTTTCAGGAATTCTTCTTCCGTTAATTTTAAAGCACGAGAGGCCTCAATAAGCATCTATGAGGGGAAGTTATATCTAAGATTAATCCAACTTTCTGCCGTCGAAGCACATCTATGAGTTTCATCTGTTTCTTAAAAGCAGCAATTAATTCAGATTTCTGCCGTTCCAAACGCCGATTTTCATTTGTAACGGTTTCCAGTTGACGTTTAGCGCTGTCCTCGTTGGAACGAGACTTATCCAACTGGTCACGAAGACGTTGAACGTCTTCCAAAGCGCGCTGAAATCTAATCTCAACGCTGCGTGCGCCAGAATTATCCTTCTCATGTTGACGACGTTCTGTTTCTAGTTGGCGTTCAAGAGCGGCCCTCTCAAGTGTCAAACTTTCTGCTCTCTGTTTGGCTGACTCCAAATCAGCACGGAGACGCTCTAGATTCACAGAATCGTGACCACTCTGTCGGTGAAGGCGAGCTTTCTCCTGCCCAACCTCTTGAAGCTTTACTGACAGCTTTCCCAGTTCATTGTGCTAAAAGGTGATTAAAAAACTTATTAAAAACAGGCGGTACTAACCGCTGCACGAAGCTCATTCTTCAACCTGACGTTTTCAGTTTCTAATACGCGCATTTTTGCAGCTAAGTAACGAGTTTTCGAGTTCTTTCCTAGCTTTGAAATAGCTTCTGACAAATTATCATCTAGTGAAGATTCTGGTTCCATTTTTGGAGTCTAGGAACAGACAAGAAAAGTGGGGAGATTATTCACAACAGCAAAGCAGAAAGTGGCAAACATTGGGGTGAACCGGGTTGTTTTACCAGATGTGGAAGATCTCCACCTTGGTGAACCTCATCGTTATGGATAACAAGAGATGACTCTGGAACCGCCACAGAAAACTTCTCATTATTCTACCAGAGAAGTTGTTTTGACAGCATACAGCATACAATAATATCATTAGCCTCTTGAATAAGATGAGTTGTTTTCTCGTTTAATGCTTGGTTCAAATTCCTTACAATAAAAGAAGATTGTCAAGGTCCCGATCGTCACGCAGAGTCAAAAGCGGTAACGTAATGGAATAGTAAATGAATACTAACCGGTAAAACTCCTCCTTGTCATCAATTAATTCATCCATCCCAACTGGACAGGACTATTTTAACCCTTCCAATCGATCGTTCGCAAATAAAGGGCTAATTATAGGCAGTCCAAACAAACAAGCTCGGTAATAAGAGTACTTCACGGCTGGTACAGGCACTCGCAACGATCAATGCTGTTGTAATAAACACACCTATCACCACTGCACAAGGACACAACCAAAGTAGGCGCATCGCTCACTTCAGTGAAGCATGTAAATCCTGCAGTCAAGTAAGATGCAGTGATTTCTAGGTTTTAACTAACAGATGTAATAATCATTAATTAATCATTCCAAGCTTGTCGTTATGGTAGATAAGAAATGGTTCTCGGAAAATACATTCCTTCCTGCATGACAATTTTCTTATTAGCCTACTTTGGATGACCCATAGTTTCACTTTTGTCCCGCTAGTGAAGGTACTGCTTTCGATCTCAATTATGGGCGCATTTTTGGCCATGCTTGTATTTGCAAAAGACTAATTGGTGTTTTGAACCCATTTTAGACGATGTAAAGCTTAGTGTTTCGGCGTATTTGGTGTAGGCAATCTACTAAGAGTCTACCTTCGTAGCCATCCCCATCCCTGTTTTACAGTCATCATTTATTTTGCAATACTTGCAATCAGCCGGGCAATTGTTGCATTGCCTTTCAATCGTTTTAGTGCAAGTATCATACATGATTTTGGGGTTTGTTTTACATACCTGGCCTGTTTTTTTTAGAATGCGGAAGAAGTCGGCACCTCGTTTTTTGTCAAAAAGGGCTCAAGCTGCACGCTCTTTCATGCACGTTCGTGCCCTTCCGTTCTCTTCTCAAGTTGAACAAAATCAATCACGCAAACGATCGAGGAACATCCCTGACATAAAATTTGATCTCTCTCGGACTTATGACCATTCCCTTGCCATCCATATGTGTGCTGAAATTCCCCCAAATTCAGTCTGTCTTCAATCTCTTTCCCTTCCTTTTTCCTCTACTCTCTTATCCTACTTTAGACAATCCCGTCGCGTGGATATCTATTTCTCTTCTTTACCTCAAATGACCCTTTGCTTTGAGTCGCAGGAATCCCGTGAACGTGTTGTTCTCAATGCTGACTTTCCAAATCTCTCTTTCATCCTCTTCGGTCTTTCATCGAATTCCCTTTCGCTTTTTGGTCGTGTGGTAGCTCAGTCAGTTGAAGTGAATGTTATCGTCAAATCTTCCGCGATTTTAACCACTTCAACGTTTATCCAGTATGCAATAAGCCCGTTACAGTTCGAGAAAATCTTTAGTTTTATTACGCTTCAAATTTGGCCCCTTGACGGATCGCTGGATAAATTTAGGCTTCCTTTGTTTGTCGATATTTCGGAAACACAAGAAGAGTTCATTGCTTCTTTGAATTCAGTCTATGCTTCTGTTCAGCACACTCATATGGCGGAATCTTCTCAATGGAATGATCTAAACATTTGTCAACCGAAGGAAATTAAAATTGATCTTCTCCCCTATCAAGTCGACGCTATTCGATGGATGATCTTCCGAGAGAGAAACATTTTTCCTATCGTTGATCCTAGTTGGCTCTCTCCATATTTCGTGCGAATGAATGAGGACAATTTGTTTTTTTCTACCTTAACTGGACAGTAAGTAATTATTCACTTGCAGACCTATCAAACTTTTATAGTTTCACGACCTCGGTCCCCGAAGTACCATCCGACTCCTGTCTTGGAGGAATTTTGGCGGATGAGATGGGTCTTGGTAAGACTCTGGAGGTTATATCTCTCATCATTCACCGTCCTTGTCCATCTGACATTACCAATTCCCCGCTGTACGATCTTAAATCGGAAGCAGACCTAGAAGGTGTCTTTGCTTTCGATTCGAAGACCAATGACGAGTTAGTAATGTACGAAGACGAGGAAGATCACGATGCAACTGTCGCAATGGTGGAGGAGAGTGTTTTCTGTGTTTGTGGTGGTGGTTGTTGCGGAGACATGGACTTTACACTGATTTCCTGCTCTGTTTGTAATTCATCCAATTTGCAACACGAGGAATGTGTACAATTTAAACGAGTGATTGATACTTCAGCAGGTGAAAGCCTTCGGTTGAAGTACATCTGCCCACTGTGTTGGAATCATGTAAGTTAATATTGGTTGTTTTACTGGTTGAGTATATGTACACATGCAAATGGTTATTGTTCATGATTGAGTAAGTGAATAAACTTCAACACAATGAATGAATGAAGGCCCTAATGCGGAGATTAGTCCTTTTATCCAATAAACTGAAATCCTCACAATCATTTCCCTTCCTTTGTCCTTTTCAGCTTCGCGTTCGTTCCAAAGCAACTTTGGTTGTTTCTCCAGATCATATTTGGCGTCAATGGCAAGACGAACTACAAAAACATGTTGATCTTTCTCACTTAAAAGTTCTTGTAAGTCTCATATCCTGTATTCATCCGAAATTCTAGATCTATGAAGGTCTGAACAGCCGTCCAATTCGACTGTCAGCATTAACTTCATCGCAACAGCAACCACCTCCTGAATCAGATTCGGATTCCGCCTTCACTCCAAACTTTGTTCAACCCGGAGAACTGGCTTCTGCTGACGTGGTACTCACCACCTACACCGTTCTTCAACGTGAGCTCGGATGGGCGTCAGTTTCCGCAGAACAGAGGGTTGGTGAGGGTCATCGGCCAACTCTACGAACGGCTCAACGCTACCTTGCCCCACCTAGTCCACTTGCTTGTGTTATCTGGTGGAGGGTGAGTTTGTTCACGTAAAAATCGTCGCCCCTACTCGGTTCTGTTTATCGCAACCTCGCTTTTTTGTGCATAGATTTGCTTGGATGAAGCGCAAATGGCGGAAAATGTGACCTCAAAGATTGCTCGAATGTTGTCAGAGGTAGAGGCTGTGCATCGATGGTGTGTCACGGGGACGCCAGCTGAGAAAGGTCTTTCTGGTGAGTCAAAGACACCTACGAAAGGTTCGCTCCAGTCCATCAAATTTTTGGATTTGGTTTATTCCTAACGCCATCTGTACAACTCAGGCTTTTCGACCAATAATAGTCAGCACTTACCTCGACATAATGCTCTTTTATAGCTCCAAAAATAACACCTTCAGCTCGGTCCAAACAGTCGTGTTAGTAGCGCACATTCATAAAACGGTGGCATGTCAATTTTCTAGACTTCTACGGCCTCCTGGCCTACCTACGCTTGGAACCTTTTGCTTGTCGACATTACTGGAACGCTTTACTCTACCAGCCCTTCGTGAATGCGCTTCGTTCTTCCTCACCCACCGAACTTTCAGACACATTATTTGTTCGTCTTCTTTCTCGTCTTCTTTGGCGCAACACAAAAGCTCTGGTCGGTTCCCAGCTCTGCCTCCCATCTGTCTGTCAACAGATCCACTGGGTTGATTTCACCAGCGTCGAGCGCTACATTCATGATCGCACACTCTCTGACTGTGCTGACGCCTTGCAACAAATGCTAGCAGAGGCGCCAGATTTTGACCTGGATGGACCACTGGCTGCACTCTCCGGGAACCTGCATTGGCGACTAGTAGCTATGGTTACCAGAGCAAGACAAGCTTGTACTCATGCTAGTCTGGTAGTGATCCATTCCAGTACTGGAGGTGGAAACGGAGGCGGTAGATGCACAGGATTTAGAGGTTCTTCGGATCCAACGCTTCAGGTCTCAAAAAACGCAAAGCTTCAAGGCACTGGGTGAGGTGAATGACTTTGGGGTTATAAAGCCTTCTCAATAATGCCTTCTTGATGCTTCTTTTCATGCCTTCAAAGGTGCGCAAACATGACTGATGTTATTCGAAAGGTGGTGGATGAAGTGCATCAGGAATGCGAGGCCAGTTATCGGACGTGGGTTTTCAATAAGAACGGCGCTGCAGCGTGCTTCATACTTCAGCAGAAGGTTAGTTTATTGAACTACACAGATGGGAAGGGGATTTGGAGTAGTTGGATTCTTCAAATCATGGGTTCTAAGTTAAGCATTACGCACACAAAGAAGGAGCTTCAAGAAGTTGCACCACTCTTAAGGCAAAATAGGCTTTTGGGAGGACTCTTTGGCGGAGCAATGTTGAGCTTTGGATGCAATTGTTCATACCTTCAAGCGTAAAATTGCATCCTCATCTCGAACCAACTTACAAATGGTCTTTTCAATGGTTTCTTTTTCGCACGCAAGTTTTTTTTCACCTTTTTTTTTATTGAAAAGGTGTGTTTTTGAACCTCCTCTTAAGCCATTTTTGTTAGGCTTTAGATTAACATGGCACATTTAATCTTTCTTGTCCACCTTTTCAGTACCTCGAAGCTGCCGCGTGCTATCGTGAAGTTCTACGCACTGCTATAGGCTTGGAATCCCGTCATGGCGTCTTGTCTGACTGGAGTCAACGTCTACACTCGATTACAAACCTTCACTGGCTCATCCAGTGTCATGATGTGCCACTGGAGAACTCTCCAACACTGGTGGAAAAGAAGGCGACCAAAAAAGTGGACGAAGAAGGCGAAGAGGTAGTGAACGTTCCTCTTGACGAATGCATGAATTCCGATGGACTGCCGACATGGGAGGAGCTGGATCCAAGGGTGGACAGGGACTTGTTGTGGAAAGCAAAGCTGCTAAGGATGGACTACCTTAAGGTAAGCGAATGGTCTGACAGGTGAGCCTAGGATGAAGAGGTGAATTTACTGGGCAGTGGATGGCTCAGCAGAAGGTCGAATGAGGAATTGAGTAGACTCAGGACTGATGGATGTGTAGTCATTTCGATGAAGGAGACTATAACCTCCGACAGTAAATCAAATGCCCTGAAGCATGAGGGGAGAGGTGGTAGATTGGTTGGAGGTGCAAATTCAAAAACGGTGGTTATATGAAAACATGGCGGAGTTGTCTACAACCGAATTGTTGGACAGGCAGGGTCTGGCAGATCGGATGCTTGAGAGGACAAATCGGTGCTTTAAGGTGGATGGATCGGGATGCGATCAAACTCCTCCTACCCCTCTTCCTCCTTACAGACGAATTCTCGTCTTCTTTCCAAAGCACGTGAAAAGTTGGATCCAGTTGTTTCTAGGCTGGAAAAACTCCTCTATCATCCTTCCGACCTTCCGTCCACTATCGAAGACAGTTCTACCGATCCATGGTTAACATGGCTTTACGAGGCCTTGGAACTCCTTGCCTCTTCCAACATCCTCGACCAACTACCACTCATGGTTGAATCCAGTCTTCAAGGTCGTTGTTCACAATTTCGGTACGATTTCTTCATTGGGTCAACCCCATTCTAGGACCACACTTCTTCACACGCGATCTGGTGCTGGATTCAAGGCTGTCCTCTTTGTTGAAGTGAAATCGGTTCTAGACGCCCGGCAACGGCTTCGAAAGGCTATGACTCCACTGGACCAAACATGGAACCACTTTCTTGTGAGTTTCCAATTTCGTTTCCTTATTTTTCACATTAGAAAAATGGGGAAGTTGATCGGTCTGTTCTGGAAAAGTACTACATCTGCTGTTGTACTCGAGACACGCCTAATCAGAATGGTAAATCGTCTCGAAAAAGGATCAGAAAGGCCTCTCATTCCAAATGTGCTTACTGCTTAGCTAGTGAGGCTCTTCAAGCCTATCGACAGGTATTGAATCAGGAGAAACCTACTGCGTCAGCAAGAGCTCAAAAACGAGTTGTTCTTGAGGGCCTTCTTGAAGAATCCCAAGTGGAGGATGATGCTGCTCTACTTAGTGGAGACTTAACCGCCATCGGATTGGTGAATCCT